AGAAAGCTACCTGCTTTTTCTTTTTTCCAAGTTTTTCCCAATAAACAGGTGTTACCTCTATGAAAGTGAAAGTGTTAGTCACTCAGCCGTGTCCGACTCTTTGTGACCCCATGAACTGTCCATGGAATTCTTCAGGCAAGAATACTGGAGTGGTTTGCCATTCCCTTCTCCAGGGGATCTTCCCGACCCAGGGATCAAACTCGGGTCTCCTGCATTGCAGGCAGATTCTTTACCATTTGAGCTACCAGGGAAGCCCATTACCTCTATAATCAGAGCAAAATAAATTTTTTTTTTTTTGCTGCACTGCACAGTTTGTGGAATCTTAGTTCCCTGACCAGGGATTGAACCTGGGTCACAGCAGTGGAAGTGCTGAGTCCTAACTACTGGACCACCAGGGAATTCCCAAAATAAACATTCTCTGTAAATGGAAAGTCTGGCTATCGAGGCTGTATCATGGGTGTCTGATCTAGTCCCCAGACCTCCCCCTTCCACTCCCCGTCCTCAGGTTAAACAATCAGGTTAAGCTTCAAGGGGAGGAGAGGTTCCCTTGAAGGAGCAGCCAGAGTGGATGAGTTTGGAGGCCTGGCAGACTGGGCCCAATCTGGGCACCTTTTCTCAACTTCTTTTTTTTTTAATTCGTTTTTAAATTTTTTACTTGTTTCTTGGCCCTGCTGCATGGCATGTCGGATCTTAGTTCCCTGACCAGGGATCGAACCTGTGCCCCCTGCAGGGGAAGCAAGGAGTCTTAACCACTGGACTTCCAGGGAAGTCCTTCCTCAGTTTCTTTAGTCTGGTCTTTCTGACAGAGGGTTGAGAATCAGGGGCCCCCAGGCTCTGAGGTGGGCACCTTTGGGCCGTGTGGCCATTTCCTGTCTGCTGTGGGGGATGAGGTTTGGGTTTCCCCACTGATATGGGGCGGGAGTTGGTCTCTGACAACCTTACTGAGTAGCCACAGGGCTGGCAGAGTCCAGTGGAGTTTGGCCCCTCTCTCCCCACTTCCGTGCTTTTGGGGTGTGGGGCTCAACTGGGTCACTGAGCTGTCTTTGAAGGAAAGGCTGAGCTCCCCACCTCCGCCAGCAATTCCCCACCAGCTCCCTCCACTGGATCAGACAGCCCCTGGATGCAGGAGTCCCGGGAGGTGGAGAGGCTCAGTAAGGTCTAAGAAACTCGGAGGAAAGCAGAGTTCTGCTCTTTGCCCCCTCCTCGTGTCCCAGAAGCCTCTTTCCCAGCCCCCACCTCAGACCCCAAAAGCTTAACCCCGGCCTACGTCCCGCCTTCACCAGCTTCTGCTGCCCCCATCCCAGTAGACCCAGCTATGCGGCCCACAAGCCAGCCTTTGTGGACTCACCCTCTCCTGTGGACCGTGCCAGGAGGGGCTGACTGCATTCTGCCTGCAGCTGAGACAAACCCCCAAGGGCCCTGGGCCCCCCTTGGCTGCCATGGAGAGATGGAGCTGGCATGAATGCAACATCCTGCATTTTCAGAAATGGACTGTGGTGAAGGGCGGGCCTGGAGAGGCAGCTGCTCATGTGAGAAAGATCATTCATTCATTCACTTCTTCAATAGATGCTTACTGAGACCCTGCTCTGTGCCAGGCTCTGGGCTGGGGGAGCTTGTGTGCTGAGACAAGGGACTCTTGCCCATTTAGAGAAAACAACTCTAAGGAAACACCCTGCCTTAGAGTCACTCGGAGGCCCCCATTTCCAGGGTTTCTGATTCAGCAGGTCTTGGTGAGGGTGTAAGAATTTCAAAGTTCCCCGATGTAGCCAACACTGCTGGTCCAGGGACCACCCTTTGAGAAGCACTGTGATTCAGGACCAGGTGGAAGAATTTTGCGTGGTTTGTATCCTCTATATTTTCAAAACTATTTCTATGGTCATCATTTACTTTCATAAATAGAAAAATCAGTTATTTAAAAGGTTGTTTTTTAAGTTGTCCTGCAAAATTGACTTCAGTGCCCTGGATATGGTCCTGTGATGAGGGGTGTCACCTCTTTTGATCTAAATGTCACACATCTTTTTTTTTTTTAATTTCATTTATCTTTAATATTTATTTATTTATTTGGCTGAATGGTGTCTCCGTTGCGGCATGTGGGATCTTCGCCGAGTCATGTGGGATGTTTTGTTGCGGGGAACGGACTCTCTCGTTGTGGCACATGGGCTCCAGAGTGTGCAGGCTCAGTAGTTATGACTCATGGGCTTAGTTTGCTCCTCAGGGATCCTAGTTCCCTGACCAGGGGTTGAACCCACATCCTCTGCATTGCAAGGAGGATTCTTAACCCACTGGACCATGAGGGAAATTCCTAAATGTCATACATCTTAATGTAGCCTAGCATCATTAGTTTTGCATGCCCTGCACTTCCCTTTGGCTCTTTCTGAGCTTGGGGTCCACTCAGACCCCCACATCCTTCTCATCAACATGGTCTGTAAATGGTATGGTGAGGATTTGAACACAGGCCCATCTGGAGGCTAGTTTAGCTTGGATTTAGCCAACTGGCCCACACTTCCTGAGTGCCGTTTCCTTTATGCTTCATTAATCTTGCTAGCTGAAATGCGTGTGGACCCCTCACTTCCTCATTTCTTTAACTGGTGTGATCATTGACTGGCCCACTTCCTCCTTCTCCACGGATTAGTTATCTATTTTATATATAGTAGTTCAGTTTCTCTTTTTAGTCTACAGTCTTATTTAATGCGTTCAGTCACACACAAGATAGATCCTTTTATTTGTGATTCATCTTTCACATCTGGTATTAGACATAGTGATCATTGGTTTCTCCTCCCGGGTCTCCCCACTGCTCCCTGCTACACTTTGTCTAATGATTGCTGCAGGTTGGTAAGTCTCGTTATGGTTGTTTGCCTAAAACCAGACATGTCACCATGCGCTTAGGATGTTGGGCCCTATGCTGGGTGTGGGGGATACAGCAGAGAGTGAGATGGATATGGGGAAGCCCCACCCCACCCTGCCCCTGGCACTCACAGTGTCTCTGGGAGATAGACTATTAAATGAAGAAATACTGATGTGTTCATGTTGACAAACGGGAAGTGAAGGACATCTGGGAACTGATGACAGAGGTGGTCAGGAGCTGCCTTGAGGAAGTGAGGTCGCCCCCCTCGACCCAACCCCCTCCACTTAAAACCCAAGCTCAGAGTCTTTTATTTTTTATTTTTGGTTCTACTGGGCCTTCGTTGTTACGCACAGACTTTGCTCTCTTGTTGCAGTGCACGGGCTTCTCGTGGTGGCTTCTCCTGTTGCAGCGCATGGGCTCTATAGCACAGGGTCTTCAGTAGTTGTGATCCCTGGACTTAGTTGCCCCACGACATGTGGAATCTTCCCAGACCAGGGATCAAACCTCTGTCCCCTGCATTGGCAAGCAGATTCTTAACCACTGGACCACCAGGGAAGTCCCAAACTCAGATTTTTTTACTCAGCCCTTCAAAGCCCTGGATTGCTGACCATTGTCAGTTTCCCCAGCCTCACCTTACCCCTGTAGCTTCCCTGGCCACTTTGCTGTATCTTGATACACTGAGCTCTTTCCTGCCTCAGGGCCTTTGCACACACTCCCCCCACCCCTCTGTCTCATGTGTGTTCCTTCTGCCTCAGCTCCAATGTCCCTTTAGGGGTGGCCTCCCCAGCCATGTCCTCTAACATAGCACGTTCCCCCATTACTCCATCATATTACCCACGTGTTTTGTTTTTGGTTTTTTATCTTCATAGCTCTTAACAGTTCAGTTCAGTTGCTCAGTTGTGTCCGACTCTTTGTGACCCCATGAACCGCAGCACGCCAGGCCTCCCTGTCCATCACCAACTCCCGGAGTTTACCCAGACTCATGTCCACTGAGTCGGTGATGCCATCTAATCATCTCATCCTCTGTCGTCCCCTTATCCTCCTGCCTTCAATCTTTCCCAACATCAGGGTCTTTTCAAGTGAGTCAGCTCTTCGCATCAGGTGGCCAAAATATTGGAGTTTCAGCTTCAACATCATAACTTAACAGTATCTGAGGGTTTTTTTAATCTGTCCATTTACAATGTGTCTAGCCAGTGATACTTGGGGCTCCACACAGACAATACAGAGAGGGCCACGTCTGTCTTGGTTGCCATGCTCCTTCCCCAATCCCCTGCTTGCACAGGGCCTGATATGCAGTTGGTGCCCATAAATGCTTGTTGAACGAGCCCTTTTCTGCTTCCCCAGTGTATTCGTTTCCTGTTGTTGCTATAAGAAATTACCAGAACTTTAGTGGTTTGCAGCAATCCCAGCTTATAATCTTACAATTCTGAAGATCAGAAGTCTGAAAACCAAGGTGTTGGCAGGACTGCTTCCCTGTAAAGGCTCTGGCGAGAATCCATTCCCTTTTCCTGCTTCTAGAGGCTGCCTGCCTCCCCTGGCCCATGGCCCTTTCTCACCTTCAGTGTACATCACCCCAACCTCTGGCACATCACCTACTCCTGCTCTGATTGCTTTGCCTCCCCCTTTTTTTTCTTTTAATTTTTATGTATTTATTTGGCTGCTCCCAAATGAATTAGTTGAGGCACGCAGGTTCTTCAGTCTTCATTGCAGCATGCAGAATCTTTTTTTAGTTGTGGCACACAAACTCTTAGTTGAGGCATGTGGGATCTAATTCCTTGACTAGGGATCGAACCTGGGCCCCCTGCATTTCGAGCATGGAGTCTTAGCCACTGGACCACCAGGGAAGTCCCTAACCTCCCTCTTAATGGATGCTTGTGATTATATTAGGTACACCCAGAAAATCCACGATAATCTCCCAATCTCAAGATCCTTAATGTAATTATATCTGTACAGTCCCTTTGCCATGTAAGGTGACATATTCAGATTCTGGGAATTAGGATGTGGGCACTTGAGGGGGGTTGCATTGTGCAGCCTACCACTCTCAGACCCCCCTTCTCCCTCAGGGTGCCTAGGACAGTGTCGGGTATGGCCTGTGCTCAAGCACTCTGGCCACTGCCACAGGGCCCTGCGACCTGACCTCTCCTCCCCTCTGCAGGACGAGATTGAGGAGCTGCGGGCAGAGATGCTGGAGATGCGGGACGTCTATATGGAGGAGGATGTGTATCAGCTGCAGGAGCTGCGGCAGCAGCTGGACCAGGCCAGCAAGACCTGTCGCATCCTGCAGTACCGGTTGCGCAAAGCTGAGCGCCGCAGCCTCCGCGCTGCCCAGACCGGCCAGGTGGATGGCGAGCTCATCCGTGGCCTGGAGCAGGACGTCAAGGTAAGCCTGGGTCCCCCTCCCCAGTCTTCAGAGGTGCCCCTGCTGGGTGCGGTGGCGGGGAGGATCATGAGCCTGAGTGGGCCCAGGTCAGCTCACTCCTTGTGTGTCCCTTGGGCAAGTTCCATCATCTCTTTGCATCATCTCCAGCATCCTCATCTGTAAATGGGGATCCCTGGTGAACTGACTGGCCATCATCCACCAGGGTTGTCCCACTTTGGGACAATTCACAATATGAATCCTCCCAACAGCAGCTGCCGTGTGAGTTGCAGCCACACACCTGGTGCTGGGCTCCAAGTTGTCTCTGCACAGTTCCGTGGAAGTTTCCTTTCTTGTGCTGGTGGAGAGTAGTGAAGGTCTGGAGTTAAATGGTTTATATCTTGACTCTGCTATGCCCTAATTTTATGGTTTTGAGCAAGTCACCTATGTTTCAGTTTCCTCATCTGTAAAATGGGTATAACAGCAGCCCATGCCTCATAGGGCTCTATGAGGATCAGATGAGATCTATGAGATCAGGTAGGTAAGAGGTCACTTTAAACAGTGAAAAATGTTAGCTACTATTATTATTCCCATTTTTCTGGATGAGGAAAGTGAGGCTCAGAGAAAGGAAATACCTCTCTAAGGTCACGGGACCCGCTGTATTGCTGGCAGAACACAGACTCATCAGCCTCCCATGCTGGCTGCCTGACCTCGCTGTCCTCGGCCTCAGGGAGCAGAAGGATGGCCTGAAGTCTGGCAGGGGGAGGAGTCTGCCTTACCTGTCTGTGTGAGCCCAAGTCTGGGGACTGACAAATCTGGGGGACCTGGCCTGACACCCAGCTCTCAGCACTCAGCCCAGTGTCATCCAGGGATGTAGGAGCTGGGGGTGAGGGCATCTCGCACAGCCTGGGGGCCTATGGGGTCTTCCTGCAGGGGGACCTCTGAGCCGAGGCTTAAGGCACAAGGAGTGTTGGAGGAAGAGGGCCCCTGTAAGCAGCGGGGGTGAAGAGTGAACACCAGCCCCACCCTGGACTTTGCATCTCCTGCTGTCTTTCATGTGCCAGGTGCATCAGGTCTGCTGATGACGAAACAGAGCTAAGAAAGGCTATATCTCCAAGTCCCAAGTGCACCAGGGACCTCCCTGATGGCCCAGTGGCTAAGACTCTGCACTCCCAAACTGGGGGCCTGGGTTCAATCCTGCATGTCACGAATGAACATCTGGCAGACTGCAACAAAGATCGAAGATCTCACGTGCTGCAACTGAGACCGAGAGCTGCCAAATAACTAAATACAAATACTTTTTTAAAAAATCAAGAAACGAAGTGCTCTTTTCTATCTGAGAAGGCAGCTTCTGTGATAAATGGTTACAGAAATATTCAAATTCCCAGCACCAGATTGAGAGGGTGGCGAGTGAAGGAGAGCCTTAGAGGCATCTGGGTTTGGGCCCAGGTAGGTGGGGCTTTCAGGCAAAGACCCACAAAAGTCAGCCTTAGATGAGGAAGGCGTGGAGGAAGGCTGGAGCTGGGAGTGGACTGGCGGGGTTGCTGGTGCCTCCCTGGGAGGAGCCAGGAGCAGCTGGTGTGTGTGCAGAGTGTGAGGGGGGAGGCCCCTGGAGCCTGGGCGGAGGGGAGCGGGCCCCTTCTGTTGGGATTTGAACCAGCCAATCAGCAGTCGGCTCGCCCCTTCCCTCCCTCCTCTCCCTGAGCCTGCAGCTGGGGCGCTGAGCTCACCCATGCCGGCCTGGACTGGACAGCTCTGGCTGCCTCCCTCAGTCCCATGTGCTGGGGACGTTCTGGGGCGTTTCTCGGAGGTTCTCAGAATGCTGACTTCCCTGGTATTGCCTAGAAGGGCTTGATGGTCCTAAGTGGATAGGACTGGTTGCTGTCTGGAAGGGACCCTCTGATTTCTCAGCCAGCAAGAGCAGACTGGAATGGGGCCACTTCTTGGGGTCTCAGTTTCCCCTTCTCTTAAATGGTGGGCTTAGAGCAGCTGAATCTTCAGGGCTTTAGCAGCTCCAGTGCTTTTAGCAAGCAGGTGGATTATTGGTGTGGGTGCTGTGAAAGAAACCTCAGGCCTTGGTCTTCCCTCTCTCCCTGCCACCCCCTGCTGGGTCTCACAGCTGAGAGGACCCACAGAATCTCCCCTGGAACGTTGTCCATCATGAGGAGGGCAGAGGTCAGGGCAGAGACCTGCTTTGCCACTAGCTTGCCCTGTGGCTTTGGGAGAGCTGCTTTGCAGCCTGAGCCTCAGTTTCCCCGTGTGGAAAATAGGGGTGCAACAAGTCTCTACCTGGAGAAACTTTTGTGAGAATAAAATGAAACAGTGCAAGTAAAGAGCATGCTGAGCGCAGGGGCCAGCTTGGGACGCTCCCCCAGAAAATAAGCAAATGTTGGTTGGGGTGTTACTGTTAATGTTCAGGAGAAAAACTTACAAGTGGGACAAGTGGCTGGGCCAGGGCAAGGAAGCAGGTAGACTCTCAGCCTCCCTGGATGGATAAGTATAGCCTGGAGGCTTGTTCACCATGCAGATTCCCAGGCCCCAGCCTTAGGGGCTGGGATCCTGTAGGAGGGTATCAGGTTCCAGGAATCCAGGATGAAAATTCCTACCTGGAGGAACCCTTGTAGGGGGCCCCAGGACACACCAGTAAAACATTTCTTAGAAGCAGTTTACTTCCTGGGTGACTTGAGCAGGTTATTTTCTCTTTTTGCGCCTCAGTTTTCTCATCTGTACAATGGGGGTAACATTCCCACCCTCCCTGGACTCTTGGGAGCATTCAGCCACACTGAATCCAGATGCTGCCTGGACATGGGGTGTTCCTCAGTGAGGGCTCCCAGCCCCTGCCCTGAGGATTCAACATGACATAGATGCCTTGGAGCCTCAGGCTTAGGAGCCGAGGGGCCGATGAGTGAGGTGGCTGTGGCCTGGAGGCTGCCAGTTGCATTTGGCAGGAGCTGGGCCCCAGCGCTGTAAACAGTGACCTCATGGCTGAGAGCATTTGTTTGTGCTTTGGGGATTTGCCCTGGTTTCCGGAAGCTGCAGCTGCTTCGCCTCCTGTAGTATCTCAGTCTCCCCGACTTGGGGAGGGTCGTGAGGGGGATCACATGAGACAGGCAGGTGGGCCCCTCTGAGCCCCTGACACTGTGAGCACACGTTGTGCTTTTTATATATTTAGTTTTTGGCTGTGTTGGGTCTTAGTTACGGCGCATGGGATCTTCCTTGCCCTACGTAGGCTCTATAGTTGTACCTAAATGGATGCGATCTTAATTCCCTGACCAGGGAGAGAACCTGCATCCCTTGTATTGGAAGGCGGCTTCTCAACCACTGGACCACCAGGGAAGCCCCTGTGCTTATTATTAATAGTTTTATTACCAATATTAACACAATGTGTTTTCAAGTTTCAGGCCACCAGCAGGCTCAGACTGAGCTCAAGACTCCAGAGCTGACCCACCTGATTTCAAATCTGGTTCTGTAGCTTCCAAGTGTGTGAGCTTGGACAAGTGACCTTTTCTTTCTGAGCCCCAGAATGGGGATGATAAATTACTTCCTGAGGGTTGAAAGGCACGTGGTGTGTGCTCAGGTAGTGACCTGATTCTACCTGTTTACCTGTGGGAACCAGGGGGCCAAGGACCACTGAGACTCAGAGAGGGGAAGGGACAGGCCCAGGCAGCGAGGCTCCTGCCCTCGAGACACTTGTGCTCCTTGTTGCTTTGGGCCTCCATCAGGGGCCTGGGGCTCTGTGGGGATCTGAGATTTGTCCACATTGGAATTCTGTAAGCTACCTGGCACTAGGCCTTCTTTACAAGGCACCCTGAAGGGTAGAGAGCAGATGGAGAAGGGGTTCCTGGGGAAGGAGACAGAAGGCAGCTGGGGACTCACGGAAGGGATGAAATCCACAGAGTCACTCATGGACCCCAGGAGATCCAGGAATCCACACTGATCATACTTCTTGGTGGGGAGTGGGTCACCTGGTCACCAAGTTGAGGCCTTGGTGGGAATGGAGTGAACCCCAAGTGGAGAGGAGCTTGCCCAGGTGGGAGTGTAGTTGGGAGAGGAGCCCTGGGTCCCCCCCCACCCCGCCCCGCCAGGAGCTGGTCCCTCAACCCCAGTCAGGAACACAGCCCTCTCTGGACATTTGGGGGTGTAGGTGGCTGGGGGGAGCGTCCCCAGCCAAGTTTGGCCAGGTGCAGCTCCCCATGTGTCAGTCATTTACTTCTTCATTGCCCTCCCCCCATTTTGTTTGTTGTAGTCTTGGATCTGTTTGTTCATCCAGTAAGCATTTATTAGGCACTTAGTATATGCCAGACTTTGCACTGCTACTGGGACAGAGAGATATGAAGGAGCCCAGGCATGCCTGGATTCTAGACCTCTGTACACCACCACTCCTACCCCTAGGGGCTAAGCAGATGAATGAGTGAGTGAATGAATGAATGAATGAATGAAGTATTCATCAGGACAGGGGCTCACTGGGTGACCTCACAGCCTAAAACCTGGGACCAGAGCCACAAGCCTGGGGCTGAATACCTCTAGCAGAAACACACACTAAACTCAAAAGTGAGGCTATGAGATGTTGGACCAAGTCGGATAAAATCAGTGCACAGAGGTGAAGTGGTAGTCTTAACAATGCATGACAAAATCATTATTCCTTTTTTTTTGTCCATACCACATGGCATTGTGGGATCTACTTCCCTGACCAGGGATCAAATCTGTGCCTGCTGCATTGGAAACTTGGAATCTGAACCACTGGACCACCCAGAAGGTCCCCAAAATCATTATACTTTTGAGTACCTGCTTTGTTTCAGCCATCAGCCCAAGCACTGTGTTGTTTATTCCCCACAGCAGCCCTTGTGACAAGGCTTTGTCACCCCCTTTTACCGATAAGCAAACCGAGACTTCAGATGCTTAAAAAAACTGCTATCCTGGGTCACACATCCAGTGAGGGCTGAAATTAGGTTTGAATCTAGTTTTGCCACCTGCAACATCTTTGTTCTGCTAGGGAGGAATCGCTCACCCCACTTTGTGGAGGGGGAAAGTTCTGGGGGCCTAGAGAGACTGTGGAAGGAGCCTGGTGGGTCGGCTTCTGACCGCCCTTGGAGATCTTCAGGGGTGGAGAGAGGCAGTGGGCAACGGAGGGAGGAGAAAGAGGGAGTGCTGAATTTCCTCTCTGGCTGTTGTTTTTCCTGGCCTGCCTTGCACACTGCCAAGGGGTCTGCGCTGAGCTGGGCCTGGGCCCAGGCAGAAGGCAGAGCCGGGGAGGGCCCTCTTCCCTTCCGGCGGGGAGGAGGTGCCACGGTCATTTCCGAAACTGGCAGGCCTGAGGCGCTGGGCTGTCTGCCTCACTTAGCCTTCTTGCTGGCAAAAGTCCTCGTACCCCTTGTGGAGTCCTCGCCACACGGCCCTTCAGCCAAAGCCCCTGAGGTCCCCCCAGCTTGGCCTACACTATCTCTGTTTGACTCTGAGCAGGTCATTTGCGCTCTGAGCCTCTTATTTCCTTGCCAGCAAAATGGGAGCAGAATTGGGGTGAAGACGGGTGAATCTATCACATAGCAGATATTCAAAAAATGCTAGTGCTTAGTCCTCTCAGGGACAGAGGCTGGTTATGATTTACCATCTCAGAAGGGCTTTCTTGGGATTTCCCTGGAGGGCCAGTGGCTGAGACGCCACGCTCCCAGTGCAGGGGCCCTGGGTTCGATCCCTGCTCAGGGAACTAAATCCTGCATGCTTCAGCTAAGACCTGGCACAGACAAAAAAAAAAGAATATTAAAAAAAAGAAGAAGGGCCTTCCTCATCCCCAGAGACCCCTTTTCCTACCCTTTCACCCCCGCCATCAGGGGATAGGACAGGGGGTGTGGTGTCCTTGAAGAAATGGAGTGTTGTTGGAGCAGAGTCCCAGAGCCGATGACCTGGGGTTTGTGGCTCTGTCAGCTCCTCCCGGAGGGATGACCTGGATGGCTGCCCAGCCTCTGTCATTTGGGGCATGTTCTGTATCCCAGACAATTGGAAACAGGCCTCGGGGTCTGTGTCCACTGTCACCCCCAGCAAGCCATGCCCTTTCTGGACTCAGCCTCTCCCAGCAGCCGCTGCCACTCACCCCGAGCTCACTGTGCAGGCCCTGGGCCAAGCCTTTGGTGCAACAGCTGATTCAGGCCTCCTGTCGGCCTGGGAGGTTGAGCTATTATTATTGCACCCATTTTGTAGTGAAGGAGACAGAGGCAGAATAGGGAAATGATTTGCTCAGGAACATATGCTGGTTACTGGCTGAGAAAAAATGAGGTTCAAAGGGCTTTGGGGAAGCCTATCTTCCTCTGGGTTTCCCCTCTATGTATTATTATTATTTTTTAATTTATTTGGCTGTGCTGGATCTTAGTTGCAGCATGCGGGATCTCTTTAGTTGTAGTATGGGAACTCTCAGTTCAGCGTGTGGAATCCAGTTCCCTGACTAGGGGTTGAATCCGGGCCCCCTGCATTGGGAGCGTGGAGTCTTAGCCACTGGACCACCAGGGAAGTCCCTCCCCTCTCTTTAAAGTGAGCTTCTGGGACTTCCCTGATGGTCCAGTGGTTGGGACTCCGCCTGGATTCAATCCCTGGTCAGGGAGGATTCCACATGTCTCAGGAGCCCGAGAGCCACAACTACTGAAGCCCATGTGCCTGGAGCCCGTGCTCTGCAAGAGAAGCCACTGCACAGAGAAGCCCATGACCGCAGCTAGAGAGTAGCCCGTGATTCCCGCAACTAGACAAAGTGCACACTCAACAACAAAACCTAGGGCAGCGAAAAATAAATAAGTACATACATATATACATAAATAAAAATGAGTTTCTGGTCCTGCCATAGGCTCTTGAGAGAACTGGGCAAGAAGGTGGATGGGAGAGGCTTTTGGAAGCATTAAAAGATCCAGATAAATGTAAAGGCACTGCTAAGGATCGACAGGGCCTCTCACTTTCTAGGGGCTGGACCATGATGTGAACATAGGAAGCACAGGGCTCCTGGGTTTGGGTTTTGGTTCTCCCACTTCCTGGCTGTGTGACCCTTGTTGAGATACTTGACCTGTCTGTGCCCCAGTTGCTTTCTCTTCAAGTGGGTGTGATGAGAGTAGCTGCCTGCCCTGGGGCTGCTCTGTGCCCATGATGGGATGGCCCTCGGCCTCCTCATGCCTTGCTTGTCGCTTGCCTTTGCTCAGGTCTCTAAAGACATCTCAGTGCGGCTGCACAAGGAGCTGGAGGCGGTGGAGAAGAAACGGGCGAGGCTGGAGGAGGAGAATGAGGAGCTTCGGCAGCGGCTGATCGAGATGGAGCTGGCCAAGCAGGTGCTGCAGACGGAGCTTGAGCGGCCGAGAGAGGTGAGGGTCCTGCCCTACCTGGGAGGGCCAGGCCCATGCTGGGCGCGCCTGTGCCAGCCCCACCCCAGCCAGTGTCTGTGAACTCCTGCTCCGCACTGTCATGCCATCCTGGCAGAGCTGTCTATTCATTCATTGCTCCAGCACATGCGCCCTGAGTGCCTCCTATGAAAACTGTGTGCTGGACACCAAGGACACAGTGGTGCTTGAGAGACACCTGGCTCCTGACCTCCAGGAGCCCAGAGGCTAACGAAGGAGACAGTCAGCCATCAAAGGAGCACAGCTGGGTGGGAGATTACCTGAGAAAACGTGCAGCGATGCCCAGCCTAGAGCCCAGCCCTCTGTGCCTCAGTCTCCTCATCTATAAAATGGGATAGTAATACTTTGAGTCATCAGAAGGACTAAGTGGGATAGATTTTATGGATGTGCTTTAGGGATGGCCAAGCGCTGCCACTCGGTATAAAGTCACTGCCGAGGCTGGCCTCTGACTGGTGTCTCAGCACATTTTTATGACACAGTTGCTTCTTAAATGTGGCTCCAGGCATCAGGCTCTCTGTCTTTGCTCATGAGCGCCCCTCCCACCTGGCAGCCCATTCTTCCTCCTGCCGTGTGTTAGGTGTACAACATGTTAAGCACCATGCCAGACACTTTCTATAATTTCCATATTAGGCCCAATGAACTTGTGATTGTACCCATTTTATGGATGGGAAAATGGCCCTGAGGGAGAGAGGAATGTCCTCAAGGTCAAGTAGGGCCCACTGGGGTACACTGATTGGAAACCACCAGCAGAGGCAATGCCTAAGGGCTGGAATCTTCCAGAAGCCAGCACTCTGTGTCCCAGGCAGCCCCGGTGCCTTCTGGCCCCAGCTGCCCCTCAGCTGTCTGACTGCTCCCGAGGCATCCTAGGATCAAATGTTGTTCTGGGGCACAGTCCTCATCTTCCTGGGGACAGGCATTCCAGTGCTCCAGGACACACCACGGCCCTGAGGCCAGAGCACTCCTTCAGCTGCCCTTCCCGCTGGCTGTGTTGGTGTGATGTGCCGGAGGCTTCTCAGAGCGGAGAGGGAGGTGTGTGCTGCTCGGGGCTTCCCAGGGCGGGCTGAGGGCCCCCTTCCCTCAGGCAGCCTCCTGCCCCCCATGACCTGGCCTGGCCTGGTGCCACAGGGCACCGTCTCCACACATCTCATTGTTGCCACCCTTCATAGTGAAAAGGAGAGACAGTTTCAGAAAGTGCCTTGGAGGTCAGGCTGTTCCCATTGTAAAGGAGGGGAAAAGGTTCGATGTATGAGACAGGGTGCTCAGGGCTGGTGCGCTGGGATGACCCAGAGGGATGGGATGGGGAGGGCTGTGGGAGGGGGGTTCAGGATGGGGACCACGTACACCCACGGCTGATTCATGTCAATGTATGGCAAAAACCACTACAATATTGTAAAGTAATTAGCCTCCAATTAAAATAAATAAATTTTTAAAAAGGGGGGGAAGGAGGCCCAGAGAGGGAGAGCTTGCCTGAGGTCACCCAGCTTTTCCTTGGCTGAGATGTGGCTGAGACCCTGAAGCCACCTCCCCTTTCTAAGTTTCTTCCTCTGTGATGTCAGGATAATAACAGTACCTAGCTTACGAGGTTCATAATCAGTCATAAGATTCATAGCCATAGAACACTATGAAGAAGCTAGAAAGAATAAGGTAATATGGCAGTTCCTGAAAAAATTAAACACAGAGTCACCAAATAAGCCAGTTCTACTTCTGGGTATATACCCAAAAGAATTGGAAACAGGGACATGGACAGATATTGGTACCCCCATATTCATAGCAGACCTGCCTTGTGACTCAGTGGTAAAGAACCCCCCCTGCCAAGCAGGAGACCCAGGTTCAATCCCTGGGTCAGGAAGATCCCCTAGAGAAGGAAATGGCAACCCATTCAGTATTCTTGCCTGGAGAATTCCATGAACAGAGGAGCCTGGTGGGCTGCAGTCCCTGGGGTTGCAAAGAGTCAGACATGACTGAGCAACTAAACAACAGCATTCATAGCAGCATTATTCACAGTAGCCAGAAGGTACAAGCAACCTACGTGTCCATCAGTGAACAAAGAAATATGTAGTATGTACTTACATTGTATGTGTAATCCTAAGGAGGAGTGATTCTAACACAGGCTACAATGTGGGTGAACCTCAAGGACATTGTGCTCGATGAAATAAGCCAAACACGACAGGACAAGTATTGTATGATTCCACTCAGATGAGATACTGAGAGTAGTCAGATCCATAGAAACAGAAGTAGGTTGGAGGTTATCAGAACCTGGAGGGGGGAGAGTGTGGGGAGATATTGTTTACTACATACAGCATTTCAGTTTGGGATGATGATAAAGTTCTGGAGGTGAGTGGTGATTATACCACTGGATTGTACACTTGCAAGTGGTTAAAAGTGGCAGATTTTATGTTATGTATATTTTACTACCATAAAAGGAAAACATGGTTAAAATGGTAAATTTTATATTAGGTATACTTTCTCTTGTTTTTTTTTTTTTTAAAGGTAGATACATATGCACTGATGTGGAAAGATTTCTAAGGTACATTGTTAAGCACAAAAAGGAAATGATAGAACCATGCATGTTGTGCAATCTCGCTGATCATTTTGGAGACCTATACAGAACAAACTGGTTTTGAAGCATATGTGTCTATGTGCAAAAATGCACAGCCTGGAGGAAAATCTGGGGAAAAACCCACTGAACTCAGGTGTTAGAAGTGGTGGTAGTGGGGTAGGGAGTGACCTTTGCTTTTTATTATATGACTGATGTAGTTAGGGTTTTTTTTTTAGGGGGGGCATGGTCATTATTAGTGAAATTTTAAATGAAGTCAAGCATGTAAAGAGTCCTTTATGGGGCCTGGCACACAGTAGATGCTCAAGAAACACTAGTTCACTTCCTACTTATTTATTTGGCTACAGCAGGTCTTAGTCGTGTCATTCGGGATCTTTCGTTGTGACACATGCACTCTCTAGTTGTGGTGGATGGGCTTAGTTGCCCCACACAACATGTGGGATCTTCATTCCCCCATCAGGAATCGAACCCGCGTCCCCTGCATTGCAAGGTGGATCCTTAGCCATTGGACCTCCAGGGAAGTCCCTCACTTCCTCTTAAAGGTGTTATCAGCAGGGTTGGTTTAGCCCTCCCTGATGTCCCTTGGAGTCTTAGGATCTGGGCAAGGAGGCGTGGCCCTGTGTTTATTGGCTGATTGCCCTCTCCCCCCTCCTTCTCTTTCCTGATATGGTTTCTATGGAGACAGGGGTCCCTTAGCAATTCTTCTGCCAGAGCTGCTCTAGTCCCATCATCGAGATCTGCCTTTGCCATCCTGACAGGTTGCTGTGGCGATGTTGTCACCCGGCTGGGAACAGGAGCCCCTGGCCTGAGCTGATGTGGTTGCTATGGAGATGGCACTTCACTGGAGAGAAGGGAGGGTGGCCTGCCCCAGCCATGTTCTGCAGTGGCACTGTTGCCAGCTGGATTGCAGCTCAAAAATCATAATAGCAGCCCCTCAACTCCAATGCAGTACCATTCCCCTTCTTTGTATTTTAGGCAGAAAGCCAGTATCAATGTTGATGGGATTTATTATAATACAACGGCTGTGTCTGAGCGCTTACTCTGTACCAGGCACTGCACTAAGCATTTTATGTGTGTCTTCACGTTGTGTAGCCAACAGCCTCCCAGGGTACATAGTGATTTTGTCTCCATTTTATTTTGTTTTATTTCTAGCCATGCTGTGAGGCTTGTGGGATCTTGGTTCCCCCACCCAGGATTGAACCCGGGCCCTTGGCAGTGAAAACTCAGAGTCTTAACCCTTGGACATCCAGGGAATTCCCATTTTGTCCATGTTTTATAGATGGTACTCCTCTTGGCAATTGTTTAATTGCAATATGGTCCACATACCGTAAAAGTCACCATTTTATGTGTTTATTTTGGCTTGTGGGATCTTAGTTCTGTGACCAGGGACTGAACCCGGGCTCTTGGCAGTAAAAGTGTGGAGTCCTAACTGCTGGACCACCAGGGGAAAATTCACCACCTTAAGGTGTAAAATTCCATGTGTTTTAATATATTCACAATGGTGTGCAACACTCACCATTATCTAATTCCAGAACATTCTGTTGTCAGCAGTCACTGCCCACTCCCCGCTCCCTCCAGCCCATGGCAATGTATGAGTGTATGAGTGACATAGAGACTCTCTGTCTCTATGGTTTTGCCTATTGTGGACATTTCATCCAAATGGAATCATGCAACATGATCTTTTGTGACTGACTTTTTTCACTTAGCATCATGTTTTCAAGGTCTCTCTCTGTTGAGACAGGTGTCAGTACTTCGTTGCTTTTCATGGCCATATAATAATCCTTTGTGGAGAGGCCACAGTTTGTCTGTCCATTCATCAGTTGATGGACATCTGGGTCGTTTCCACTTTGGGGGCTGTTATGAACTAATGCTGCTGTGAACCCTTATGTACAGGTTTTTGGGTGGACATGTTTTCAGTTCTCTTGGGTGTATACCTGGAGTGGACCTGCTGTATGTAGATGGGATAGGAGAAAGGACTTTCCACCTTCCAAAGCTACACTGACTTTCATGGTGATGCCCCTGCGCTCCTCGCCCCATTCAGTGGTGTTCCCGGAACCCTGCTGTGTTTCAGGATCTCTGAAGGGGCTGCTCATTCCAGTGAGGACCTCCTTCTCTGGCCCGGGCTTCTTGGCCTGATTCCCACTCTTAAGCGGTAAGAAGGGCACTGACTGTAGCATCAGTTCACCTGGGTTCCCGTCTCCGTTCTGCTGGATTCATCATCTCATGCAGCCCTGCTATGGCCCATGTGCTGCAGGACGAACTTGAACTTGGAGTCACGTGGGCCTGGGTTTGAATCCTGGCTTTGCCATTTATTGGCAAATAACTGTAGCATTGGGCAAATTGTATAACCTTTCTAGTGCTCAGCTTGTTCATTTATAAAATGGGACTATGAATCCCTGCTTCTCAG